TCCATTATACTCCTGCTATAAGTGAGACCATCCGGTATTTTTCTTTCTCTTTCTGGCTTATCTCACTAAGCATGATCTTTTCTAGCTCCATCCAAGTTGCTGCAAAAGACATGTGTTTCTCTTTTTTGGTTGCTGAGTAATATTCCATTGTATATGTGCACCACATCTTTTTAATCCAGTCATCTACTTTTGGGCTGTAGCTTTTTTTTTTTTTAATCATGGTAAAACAGACAAAACACAAAACTGACTTAAGTGTGCAGTGCAGTGGTCTTAAATGCTTTTGTGTAGCTGTGCAGCACCTCCCCCTTGCTCCAGAATAGTTTCATCATTGAACTGGGACTCTTACCGTTTATCTTGGTTCTCCCCCACTTAGGCTTAAAGCTCTTTTGACACAAGATCAGGTGTGGTATGACCCTAGACAGTTCTTTTGAATATTAGCATTTGCGTAATTTTAAAATAGGAAACACAGTCAATGAGAACAAGACGTAGAAAGTTCAAGAGGGCAGCTAGTGGAAGTGTCTCGTCCACACGCCCCCTCGGGGAACATGCGTTTTCATTAACACTCTGTGTTGCTTCACCTTGACGTTGTGGTCAAGGAAGCCAAGTCGATGTACCACACCTACCATGTGCTCCCCAGAGGTCTGTGTAATGACACTGTTACTTGCAGTGACAAGATTGGCTGATGACGCTGTCTCAGAAAGTGTCCCCTTCTGTAAGAGAGCAGCTTTTTAGGCCTCACATCAAAGTACTGGTTCCACGGCTGATGCTCGTTACTGGGCAAGATGTTGCTGACTTGCCGCCGGTGAAGCTCAATCTAGTCATCCCGCTGCCAGGCTCTCCCCTCTCACCTTTATCCAACGAGCGTGTCAGACTTGCTTCCTTTCCAGGTATGTGAAAAATGACAGTTGAATGTCATCGACTATACCCTTCTCTTCAAAGTGAGGCTGAGCATCTTTCCTATGCTCAGATGCGGCTCTATAAACTCTCATTTTGTTTAACTTTTTTCCTGTTGAGCCCTGGATATGTCTTGTGAGTTTCAGAGTAAAGATCTATAATTCTGGATGACTGACAGATGTGACTGGAATTATTGTTAGCCAGGATCAGTCCCCAGGAAACGGTTCTCTTCAGGTGCCTGTGGGATCCTGCTTCCGAGCTATGCTCTGGCCATGCTTCATTGCCCTGGGAAACACATTCTCAGAACCCAGGAAGCCCTAAACCAGCCGCCACGTGTGAGCCATCTTAATTACCCCAGCTAGTGAGTTAAGAATAATTTTAGATTTTCTTTCCGAGTCAAAAGTGCCACCGTATGCCAGAGGCATCCATGGGACAGTGAACCAGGCATCAGGCTAGGTGCTGTGGGGGATATAAAACAAATGTCCGTCTTAATCCCCACTTTAAAGAACTTTATGACAAACAACAAGGTATTGAATATAAGATGGACGAGACATGGGTCAAGTTTAAAAGCGCGTAGGCGGAAACGACATATTCATTTGTTGACAGCCCTCTCAGAGGTTTTATACAAATTTCTCCTCAGCCTGCAAGGTAGGTGCCCCCCTGGCTCTCCACCATGTACCCAGGGCCCAGCGGGGGAAGAGTTTGACTTGGTTGGAGCCAACCAACCACACACCTGAAGTGTGAGAATGAGAGATGGGAGACAAAAGGTAAGCGGGCCATGACCACGGAGGCTGCCTTTCTGGGGTGTTTTTGGAGAGAAAACGGACAACTGATTTTTGAAAATAGCCTTAGTGGGATGTACCTCACATTCCATGCAATTTACCACTGTGAAGTGCGCCATTCAATGTTTTTTTTTTTTAGTATACTCACAGCTCTGGACAACCATCCCCACTGTCAATTCAAAAGCAAGCCCGTCTCCTTCAACTGTCACCACCCAGACCAGCTCCACCTCCGCTCCAGACAGCTCTTCCACTGATCCAAGCACCCACTGGTGCAGCCCATCCAAGAGGCGGAGTTCACAGGGCTCAGCCCCCAGCCTCCCACCCTCCACCCCAGCCTGGGGCACAAAGCAGTTTAGAGACAGGAGCTGGGATGGGAGAGTGCAAATGGACAATGACAAGCCCACTGGCCTGTCCCCAGGCCCAAGTCACCA